GATGGACACTGGGAAGAGGTAACTATGGGGAGGAAGTGGGAGGGGAGCTGTTGCATTGTAAATTTTGGTCAATGACATTAGACATAGTATATTATGCGAACTGCTGTATGAAAAGTGAATTTACTCTGTAAATCAAAATCAAAATTAAATTAAAAAAAAAAGATATCACTGTGAAAGAGGGAAGGCAATAGTCTAATCCTATTAAAGGGTTTGGTCTGCACGTGAAAAAAAAAAAAAAAGATTCACTTGGGGATCTTCTTAAAATGTAGGTTCTTTTTCAGAACCTGCATCTTTGATTTTCTTCACTCTCTTTGCTCCACTTGGGGAAAGTACAATAGTTACACCTTATTTGATCATCACTCACAGGTTCTTAACGTTTTAAAGGTTATAAACTCCTCTGAGAATCTGTTAATAGAAATGGGCATTCTCACCAGAAAAAAACGTACACATATCTGATGTTTTACATCAAATTCCAGGATACTTTGAGTGAATTATAATAGGACAAAAGTTCATGTTTTGTAGGATGTTATATTTTTCTGGTTTGATTGCTTATGCTTGTTATCTTAATTAGCCTCTTCCTTCTTCTCTCCTACCCTATTTCTAAGGTGGATACGTTGCAAATAGCCTAGCAATTATGACAGATGCGCTTCATATGTTAACTGACCTAAGTGCTATCATACTGACCCTGCTTGCTTTGTGGCTGTCTTCAAAATCACCAACCAAAAGATTCACCTTTGGATTTCATCGCTTAGGTAGGTAACTGGGAACTTCTTTTTCGCTTATAATATTTTATAGTAAAACCACAATGAGCTATAACCCTTAGTTAACTGAATTTTTCCAGTAATACCCTCTTTGAGTAAGCAAATAAAAATAGGTAGATAAGACTTATTCAGAAACATATCTTCCAGAGTACATTCAGCCTAGTCAGATAAACAGTTTACACATATAAACTTATATGGCACTTATTAATCTTCAAATGGTGTGCCCTATGTACTGAAGATGTCATCAAAAAAAAAGTTTACCTTCCAGTTATAGAACCAAGCAAGACCTTAACTGGGTTTAACTTTGTAATGAGCATTTACTTCTCCCTTTCACTTCAAGTACTTTATTCTAATCAAAGCTACATTGGCATGCAAAAGGACGCGTAGAATCACCTTGCAGAAAGCCATTTGGCTTTTGGCCTTATAGTTCCTGAGAGCCCCAAGGGCAGAGGCTCACCTGGGTGTCCAGTGCTGACTAAATGACTAAGCTTCATGAGGCTGATAAGAGCCCTGAGTCTAGAGTCTCACATGGAGCTTCCTGATTGGTAAGAGAAACATCTGCTCTTGGGAGGGTAGCACAACACTTTGGGACACACTGTAACCCTTCCCACCTCACCCTATGTGTTTCTTCATTTGTATCCTTTTTTTGTGGTTGTTGTTATATTAAAGCTGTAATCATAGGTGTGGTGTCTCTGGTGCATCTGGGAGTTGTTTTTCCTTCAGTTTTCTTCCTATCTTCTGTTGGAAGAAAGTAGAAAAAAAATAGCAAAAAAGGAAGTGGAAGAAAGATTAATCTCTTTCCGTTTCATTGCTGATAAAATGTTCATTTTTCACTTATGAAACTTGTCTTAAGATCTTTTCTGTACAATAGTTCTTTGAAGCAATAAAAAGGCAAGTGTAATACAATTTAACTGAAAAACAGTCATTATTGATATCGTAACAACTGCAAAGTTAACAGTTATGATAGACCCATCACTTAGTACCTGTTAGAAAATAAGTAATGTTTCTGTTGAATGTGGTTTACATAATTAGAGAAAATTATAATTCATTCACTGAATGGGTGGCCAACATTTATCTGTTGCATGAATGAATAATTATATTGGGGAGGGGAGGAGATAGACAGTAAATACATACACAAACACAAATATACTGGTGTGCTTCCCTTAATGTCCACAATACATTCTGTGAAATAGGACATTATGTGATTTGAATAATGTGGGAACACTGTATTAAAACTTTATGGGAGCCTGCTTTCCAATTGGAACCTCTGGTGGCATAGTGCTTAAGGCATTTGAATTCTAACCAGAAGGCTGGCGGTTCAAACCACCAGTCACTCCTCGGCAGGAAGGTTGGGCAGTCTACTCCTGTAGTGATACTACCTCGGAAACCCAAGGAGGGGTTGCTATGAGTTGGATCCGACTCAGTGACAGTGAGTTTGGCAATTGTCTTCATTGCCTGCTGTTGGCCGCTGCCACCACTGCTGCTGCTGCTGAAACTGTTGGATGGGGCTGGAGGAATGGCACCAGCAACAGTGGCAGCTGAGAAGGCCAAGGTGAGAACAAAGCAAGAGGAAGTGAGTGGGGAAGGAGCAGAGCATGCCTAGCCCCACCTACTGCTACACTCACCTGAGCAGGAGGAGCATCCCTGCCCACTGGACAAAGCCCAAGAGGCTATGCCCAGAACTGTGTTCTCTGCCTTACCTGCCTGTGTCCCACCTGTTGTCCAGTGCTGTGGGAGTCTGAGTTTAGAGTCTTTAATACCATTAGAGGGAAATAATAAACAAAAAAAGAGCTGCTTTCCCTTTTTTAAAAAGAAACCTTATGGGACCATATGTGTATACATACTCACATGTTGCCCAAACAAATGTTAAGTGATGCATATCTGTAATTAGAATTGTAGTAAGTACAGCAAGAAGAAAGAATAAGTTACAGTGATGGAGAATAATAGAGTAGGGGAGAGGACTCATATTTTTCCTATGTACCTTGTAAACCTCTAGTTTTGGCAATTTATTAATGTTTTAAGATGTACAATAGAGTTTTAAAATATTTTATAGAGATATGAAAACTTGATAATAATCTCCATTTAATTTTCTTCTTTTAAGCATTCTTTAGCCGAAACTATTATTCTTTATATGTGAAATTCAGGGTCTGTTTAGTTTTCATTAGGTCATTGGCCATAAACATTGCTTATCCTTCAGCTGAATGAAAAGACCAAGTGATGTTATAACAAAAAACATAACTCACTTATCTTACTCCATCTTTCAATGCCATAGTTCAGCCGAGTAGAATGATTTAACTACTTATATATAAAGGTACAAGGTATAATAAAAGGTTTCCTAGCATTTCCATAAAAATCTCTTTCAAGGGTTTTTAATTTATGCTAAATTTGCATTTAGATTGATACATGACCTTTCAAGTTTATCTAAAGCTAGTGGGAATTAACTTCACTGAAATCTTCTAGAGTTTTTTCCTGGATCTCTTCTAGAACATGAAAAATCTATTTGCTATACATTCCTTTTGTCTCAGAAAACTTTATTGTAAGTATGTGACTGGAGACCAACCCAGAGCAGGAATGAGAAAATTGGAGCAGTTCATAATATGGTTGTTGATTGAGAGCTTCCCTCTCTCTTAAATGTTGGGGGATAGGAGTGGGGAATGGGGGTGGGGTATCTTTTTCTGCATTCCATCTACAAATACTATTTTAAAAATTTAACACTAGTTAGTCCTATTCATGGTATTTTATCAAAGCTAAATTTATTCACAATGAAAGAGCTTTTTGTTTGTTTTATCAGAATAAATGATCACATTACTACTATTAAGGATTGTTGGTTATCTAGGAGCTCTGGTAGCTTAGTGCCTAAGGCACTTGACTGCTAACCAGAAAGCTGGCAGTTCAAACCCATCAGCCACTCCTCAGAAGGAAGGTTGGGCATTCTGCTTCCATAGTGATACCTCCTCAGAAACCCAAGGCGGGATTGCTATGAGTCGAGTCCAGTCCGACTCAACAGCACATAACAGCAACAACATGGTGGTTATCTAAAGAGCTCTGGTGGTGCAGTGCGTGAGGCATTTGACTGCTAATCAGAAGGCTGGCAGTTCAAACTCACCAGCCACTCTACAGAAGGAAGATAAGGCAATCTACTTCTGTAAAG